GGGATCCAGGCTGCGTGTAGCCAATAGATGATGCCCGGAAGGATCAATTCCGTCTGGACAATGGAACATGTGTGAATCCATATAAATTATCACTCTGTATCTCATGGGAGCCATGATTTTGACTTTATTCTCTCCTGCTCTTCTCATTCCAAAACTCCAGGCCAGCCTTCTGGCGCAGAGTCCCGTACATCGCACTGCTGTCCAGACACTCTCCGCCATATTCTCTCGCGGCTTCCATATTAGCCCGAGCAATCTCAAGGCCAGGAAGCTCAACACCCTGCTCCTGGGCCATCGACATGGCATGCCTGGAATCCCTGATAGCAAGAGAAACCCTAAAGCCAGGACGAGAGTTCAGGGGCGGCGCATAAGCATCCGCAGTCAATCTGGAAACATAGATACGCCTGAAGAGCCGCGGTGCCAGCACCAAAACAACGATGAAACATACCTCTTAGAATAACCTCCAGCAAAAGAACCAAGAGCCTCGCCAATAAGCTCCTCCATGGGACCAGTTCCAAGCCCGGTCTTCTCAGCAAAGACCTGAGCCTCCCCAACAGCCTCCATAATGTTGACAGTGATAATGTTACCGGCGATTTTCAGAAGCGATGATTTTGTAGCATCCTCGCCGCAATCAATCACACGACGACCCATCACATCTTGGATCAGAGGTTTGACGGCCTCAGTTGCACTCTTGGGGACCACCAATGGCAAAGACAAGCTTGCCATCCACGGCAATTGGGGTCCCGCCGAAGACCTGCGCTGCGACGTACGATGCATCCTTACTTTTAAGCTGCGATACAGTGGACCTTACGGTTTCGGGGTGCACTGTTGAGCAGTCGACGAAGACCTTGTCCTTCAGGGACTGGCTTGAACCCACAACGGTGGATAGCAATCGTTGCAGCACTGTGTCGTTGGAGACCTAGAAGAGGCTTCAGTTACATTTGCTTTGTTTTTTCTCGGTGGAGTTGCCTTACCATGGTGAAAATGATTCCATATTGAGATACGAGCTTCTCAAAATTGGGTTCTGGGATTGCTCCCAGTGCTTGCAGGGCTGCTCCGCGCGACATCGTGCGGTTAGAGTAGATCAGGCCCAAGGTCTTCTTCGCGGCTAGGTGGCGCTGTAGGTTAGTTGCCATTGCTAGGCCCATGGACCCGAATCCGTACTTTTTGCATGGTTAGTTCCTTTGTTCCAACCCGTAGATGCTCTAGGGGTTGCTCACCCAGCCGATTTGTGGCATTATTGATCGCTGTTTTCCTTGGGTGCGGGCTCAGATGGGCGACGAAGTTATCATTAGGCAACAGCTGAAAGAAAAGCTAACTATACGGAGTCTAATTGAGCAGCGCAATGCGATCCTTGTATGAGTCCAGGGATAATAGGAAATGGCGGAGCGCGTGGATGTCGGAGTCGGCCGACAGGAAGCTCTTCAACATTATCACCATGGTTTACATGTCTTCAGGTTAGACTAGGCTTGGACTTTATTACTGTGAATAGATGTCGTTCGTCTCTTTGCTCATCTTCTATGCTTGATGTGTCCTTGTAGTCATATCCACGTGCATGCCCCTTCCCTTGATGTAAGGCGTTCCAACTGTACTATAGCTTGTATATATATTGGTTTCAGCATCATCCCACTACTTATCCGGAACTCAGAGTCATTTTTTTTACGCCGTAATCCATCATCTTCAAGCTTGTCTGGCCTAAGAATGCGGTGACGCGGTCACATACCGTCATGGCTGCGGCTCGCCTCCAGCTGTGGGGTAAATATCAGGTAAGGTACGGTACGGTCACGTAAGTTATGATGCTCCGTCCGTCGTGGGCTTGACTTCACAAACATCCCCAACACCTCCACTCTCCCCTGAACCCTCCTACTTCCGCTCTCTTGGGAATTTCCAAAACGAAAATCTCAATCTCAGACGGTACCCATAGTCCCAACAGTCGAATCCCAATTCCTCCAAGATGACGGAAATGCCCATTGGTACACACCGATCCTCCCAGGCTACCGTGTCCCAGCCCCAAGCTAACAAGCTACTCCGCAGTCCTCGATGGAGGAACCGGTTTCCTCAAGGTCGGCTATGCCGCCCAGGTATGTCGCACGGCCTCTATACTCTCTATTTGCTTTTCTCTAACTTAAATTCCCTCGCCAGAACTTCCCAGAGCACCAATTTCCCTCGATAGTGGGGCGGCCCATCTTGCGAACGGAGGAGCAGGGCGGCGACATCGTGGTCAAGGATATCATGTGCGGTGATGAAGCCGCCGCTGCACGATCAATGCTCCAGATCAGCTATCCTGTATGTCTATGTCGGGGAATCTTGTCCTCGCCTAGTTGTTCGACCCCGCCCTCTCCGCATACCAAGCCAGTTTCTTGTTGATGCCTAATTCGTGCTGTTTTAGATGGAGAATGGAATTGTGAAGAAATGGGACGATATGCAACATCTATGGAACTACACCTTTTACGAAAAGATGAAGATCGACCCCACGGATCGCAAGATTCTCCTCACGGAGCCGCCGATGAACCCACTCAAGAACCGTGAGCAGATGGCCGAGGTGATGCTGGAAGGATACGGATTTGGTGGTGTATATGTGGCGATCCAGGCGGTGCTGGCACTGTATGCCCAGGGTATGTGATAAAAAAACAAGAGCGTGAGTTGGAGGTCAATGCTGATGTTTTGTTGTAGGTCTGAGTAGCGGCGTTGTTGTGGATTCCGGTGACGGTGTGACACACATTATCCCTGTGTATGAATCCACCGTACTCAACCACCACATTCGCCGCCTGGATGTTGCTGGCCGCGACGTCACTCGCAATCTGATTGCCCTCCTTCTGCGCCGTGGCTATGCGCTGAACCGAACTGCCGATTTCGAGACTGTGCGTCAGATCAAGGAGAAGCTCGCCTACGTCTCCTACGACCTGGAGCTGGACAAGAAGCTTTCCGAAGACACCACCGTTCTCGTTGAATCGTACACCTTGCCCGACGGCCGTGTCATCCGCGTCGGCAGCGAGCGCTTCGAGGCTCCCGAATGCCTCTTCCAGCCACACTTGGTCGACGTTGATCAGCCTGGTATGGCTGAGATGCTTTTCAACTGTATCCAGGGCGCCGATGTCGATGTTCGCTCTAGTCTTTACAAGGCCATCGTACTCAGCGGTGGTAGCAGCATGTACCCCGGTTTGCCCTCTCGTTTGGAGAAAGAGTTGAAGCAGCTCTGGCTCACACGCGTACTGGGCGGCGACCCAGAGCGCTTGAACGTACGTCGAAACTAAGACCCAAAAAAACCAGTATAGTTTGGCTAATACTTTTCCAGAAATTTAAGGTCCGCATCGAAGATCCCCCCCCGCCGGAGACACATGGTGTTCCTGGGTGGTGCCGTCCTCGCCAATTTGGTTAGTATCCTCCATTTTCAATGGACTATGGTCGTTGCTAACACCAGTTTTCTTCAGATTGCCGACAAGGACGACATGTGGGTGAGCAAGCAGGAGTGGCAGGAACAGGGTGCACGCGCCCTGGACAAGCTCGGCCCGCGATGAACGAATTGTATTTAGGCGGTTCTTGGTCTGCTCCTTTTTCTCTGTTTTCCTGCTTTGCATTGTTTGCAAGCCATGTTGCCCGGGGATTTTTCCCTGTCCTCTTTTTCTTGCCTCCATCCCTTATCATTGTCGATATACTCTCGTCCATCTTGTAGTTTACCCTGTCTCTGCGTCTGCTTCTTACATTGTGCCTAGACTGATCTGGCGCGGGTGAATTCGGGCGTTCACAACAGAAAAGAACGGAATATCTCCATCGACGTTTCGTTCTTTACCAGCTTTGTAGATTGGTATTGTTTACGTAGTATGAACTACCTTGGGATGGTCCAATTCATGATCATGATGACATGCAATCTATCGTCGACATAAATACACCGAGAAACAAACGCATCCCCATATGTACCGCCCTTCCCCTCTCTTTTATCAAAAAAAAATACCCCCATTCCTGGGTAGAGACGCATATATAACCCCGAGAAATCTAAAGATACAAATGCTGCACGCAAAACGCAACAAAACGAACGAAGACTATCACAACAAAAGAAGCAACGTACCGTGTCGATAGAACGAAAAAGAAAAACTAGTCGGGGACTAATGGCCCAACTAAGTCTCAACAGCCCCTGGCGAAATCGCCAAGATGACCGCAAGAGTAGTTATGATCAGCGAAGCAGCCACAAACGCCGTAAGTGCTACGCTGCCCCGACTAGCCGGGAACTTCCCACGAATAATCCAATACTGGCTCTGGAAGTAGCGGTGGAAGCCAATAATAAGGATAAGGATCGAGACGCCGATGAAAGTCGAGCCGAGCGGTTTGCCCACGCTACGAAGACGAGCTGATGTAGAGGAGACATGGAACGCGGCTGAATCGTAGCCAGACGAGGCAAAATGTGGTGGAAGAATTCCTGGCTTTAAAGCGGATGCCGAGTCGGAGAATTTGGCTTGTGTATTTGACGAGGAATTGTTCAGGCGGAAGAGCTGTGTTACTGCGATACCGATTGAGGCGAAGGCTAGGGAGGTACGCATCCAGGCTAGAAAGGTTCGTTCTGTTGGAAAGGGAGTGGGCGTTAGAGGGATCTATGTGTGTTTCATCAAGGTAGGCAGTGCATATCGTACCCAATGCGAGGTGGTCGCGGGCCACACTGCCTTTGTTCTCTAGTTCGAGGCTGCCATATCGATCTGCAAATTGACTATACCAGGACTGCCGGGGCTCGGAAGTCGAGTCTTGATTCGTTGGCTGGCTACCATTCCCACGGTTTGCATTGTTTAGTTGAAGGTCTTTCAGCTGGGAAGCAGTTGTTTGCTCCGTGGACTGATAGTTGCGCCCCGCGGGACCGGGTGTGTTGATTGGCGTGGACTCGGTGGATTGGGACGAGCTCTGAGCTGGGTTTGGGTTACGCACATGTTTTCTAGATGAAAAGCTTGATTGGGACCGGGTGCTGCCGAAGGAGGATGACAGGGCTGAATCCGTAGGCGAGCGTGACGATGAGTGGTTGTTTTTGGTTCCTCTAGAGGTACTGGGAACTGTCGGAGGTGGTGCCGATGAGTCGGATGTATTCATTATGGCGTGCTTGCCTGCTGATCTCTCGCGGGAGAATTTTATCCAATACGAGGTCGCCACGGACCAAGTTTATGCAGGGTTAAAGCGCCAGGATCTTCTATGTCAACGGAGGCCGAAAAGTAGCTGCTTGAGACAAGATGTTCACGATGATGGAAAACAACCGCTGTGTCTGGTATGTTCAAATCTGGCTTTCTGTATTTCCTTTGTTTGCTCCTCTTTTCAGGGTGCTGCGGCCCTCATGTGGCACTTGATGGGACTTCTGAGCAAAAGCGTGAAACGATATGATAATCTCCAGGTCACATGACCAATCCGGGGAAGTGATCACATGCTCCACTCTAACCCACTTGGGCCTTAAGTCATTGTTAAGCGTGACATGTTAATATAGATATCAGTTGTAGATCCTAGCCAAGGATCTGCTTTGATGATCATATATATCTGACAACCTACAATCTCAACATCTTCTCCCATCTGGCGAAGTTGCGTCATCCTCTGTTTAAGGCAGGCGGTCAACTCTGCTTTAATCCTCTTTATCGACTTATCTACTTATCCGACTTGTCGATTTCCCTTCCCCTCACTCAACCAACACTATGGCATCACAAGCATCTTTACCATCTCCTACGGGGAAGGTCGATCTCTCTAAAAGGCTGTCTGAGCTACGGTCGAATACCCGCAGGGCAACCCCCACTTCCCGAGATATAACACCCACAACCCCTCCTCTCCCTTCGCCGCCAGACCTCTCCGTCCACCAGTACCGGCACCCAATTCGCCGCATCATATCCCCTAAAGACCATGAACTTTTCATCTCGTCGCCAACCTACCAAATTGTCCTCGCCTTTGTTTTCGGCCTAACTGATTCTGTGCGCGGGCATTCTATCACCGATTTTCAGAACAAGCCTCAATCCGAATCCATCTCCAAGGTCCTCTCAGTCGTTGCTCAGATACGCTCCCTCCTGGCCAAAAACCCTCCAATCGATCAAGGTGGGTCCAGATTTGGCAATCCTGCCTTCCGAGCACTATGCGACGACGTCAGCGCCCAGAGCGCATCATGGCACACCAACATTCTCGGGCTGAAAGACGCCGCCGCAACCGAAGAAGCCTCGACATATCTAATCAACTGCCTGGGCTCACAAGAGCGAATTGACTACGGCTCCGGACACGAACTCAACTTCATGATGTGGCTGCTATGTCTATACCAGCTCGGTCTTCTCCCCGCCAGCGACTTCCCCGCCGTCGTGGTCAAGGTCTATTTCGAGTACATGCACCTTATGCGTGAGATCCAGTCAGCCTACTACCTGGAGCCTGCTGGATCGCACGGCGTCTGGGGTCTGGATGACTACCATTTCCTGCCGTTCTTGTTTGGGGCTAGTCAGCTTGTCGGGCACCCGTATGTCACTCCCTTGGGTATCCACAACACCGCTACTTTGGAGGAGGAGGGTGATAATTATCTATACCTGGACCAGGTTCGGTGGGTTGAAAGTGTCAAGACTGTGAAGGGACTGCGTTGGCATAGCCCTATGCTGGACGACATCTCTGGTTCTAAGAACTGGACCAAGGTTGAGAGCGGCATGAAGAAGATGTTTGTTAAGGAAGTGCTGGGAAAACTTCCTATCATGCAACATTTTTTGTTCGGAAGTTTTCTGCCTGCTGCTGAAGGCATGACTGATCCTTCTGAGGGAGGTGCTGAGCATGTCGGTCCTGACCATGCCCATGGACACGACCATCCTCATGAAAGTGCAGACTGGTTCGGTGATTGCTGCGGTATCAAGGTACCCAGTACCGTGGCTGCGGGTGCCGAGATGCGTAAGCGTATGGGTGGATCGAATCTGCGCCCTATTCCTTTCGATTAAGGCCGCGGATAAGAATATGGGATCTGTCAACAATTTAATGGGTCAACATGACTAGCTTATCTTCAAAAAAAAATGACACATCGGCAAATCTCGTCAGGTTTCTCGGGATTCAATTTTTTTTTAAAAGAAAATTTTGTTTTTTCTGTCGTGCTATTTCCTACTCGCTGCGTTGGTGGAGTAAATCGACAGGCATACTCGGGATGTTCTAGCACTTCGTCAGTTCCGAAAACACTGTCATTTTGACAGACAGAGCCGAATTGATTATAACCCCTAAGCCATGGGAGTATTAGATTGCGATGTATGTGATCCGTACAATAATGTGCTGATCATCCATAGAATCCAATTCTGCCCGATGAAGAACTCTTGGTTTCAATCTGCACGATCACGATAGACATCTTCAACACAACACGCTAGGATTAATCCCTCGTTTCTCTTTCCTCAGTGTCATAGTCCCAAAGTCCTTGACCGCCAAGTTGCACTTGCAGTTCGAGTAGTTCCAGAGCACCTTGTTGGGACAGTATAGCTCCGGTTAGTGCCACTTTCCCAAACAATACTCCCCTCAGAGCATTCAATGGAGAATTTTTTACTGATTTGAACCAGCAGGGAGACTAATACTGGCAGCCCACAATGGATCAGACGGTGGGTAGGAGCCTGCAGACAGAGCGGTCGCCAACGGAGTCAACCAAGAGCCCGACTGGCTGATTGACTCGGCGAGAAAGACCATCGGACCTTACTGGGTGGCGAACAAGCTCGTTGCAAGATACCGAGACGTTGTTATCGAGATGTTCGAGGTAGGAGTAGCACACGCTGCAGTAGTTGTTGTCGGCGGTGGTCGAAGTCGATCCTCCCCTCGGTCTCCCCAACATCAATGTCAGCACAGTTATGATAGAATTTGGCCTGTTATCCAAGATCTCTACTGTTCAATTCGCCCCTCAGGAATGGTCAGGTATTGATGAGCATTGACCAAGAACAATAGACTTGCCAGAGCAGAATCGAGGCTGCCTTTATCTTAAATGTCCTTCCCTCAAATCTAAAGACTTACTGTCAAACC